TTAAGAAGTTTTCTCTTAAGAGGCCACATTATCATCTCTTCTGGCTCATGCTGTTGTCCGCACCAGTTTACACGCACTCACGCACGCGCGTCATCAAACACCATGGTAACAACCAACCGAGGCTATATAAGGGCCGCAGACCGTTCAACTTTCCCCTTTTGCAATTGAACTTTGACGAGAGTTGACCTTTTGCAAGACCTTGCTGGAAAGCTAACTATTTAAAAGCGCTGCATCAATATCTTCTACAAGAACACTTCTTCTAAAACAACAGGAAAGAAAAGAACTTCTTGGACTCAGTGGGACACCTATCAGGGTCACCGAAGAGCTCGGAGATCGCCTTCAGCGGACCGGTGATGGACGAGGAGCACCTGTCCGCCCAACACGTGTCTGACAGCGGTGGAGGTATGTCAAATGTGACCTTTTTTTTTTTTACCATTGACATTTCACTGATTAATTTATTAATCTCCATAAACGCTCTAACGTTTTATCAGTCAAACCTTTTTATAAATTTGAGATTTAAAGTCAAGAGCTCTCATGATGTTATTAGGCCTCAATGAAAAAACTAATGTTTGGTGAACTTTGATTTTCTCACTGTTTTTCCTGTGTAAAAAATCTTTTGATTTCTGTAATGTCTGAATTCTTAGCGCGCCAATTATGGAATTAATTAGGAAGTGTCGGGGTGATTCAGCACTTTTGTTTTGATGGAGATAATATTGAATTATCTTGTGCTTTTATTTTCAAGCTGTTCTCATTACATCAAATTACGATCATGGGTTTTATATTCATTTAGGCCTACTATATTTGAGTTCAATGTCATAATTCATGCTTTCAATTGCGTTTTTTATTAAATCAAATTGACTCAAATTTGATACAGTGGCCTATCATCATAAGCAATTTTGATACAAAAATATTTGCTAACTCAGGCAAACCAGCTACTCTTCAAATAGTCCCTTCTATATAAAAGCTCTGATCTGGTTGGAGATTCTTCTAAGTAGACTTTATTTTGCCTATTTTTAGAAAATCCTAGAATTGTAGCATTTGTCAGTGTTATGTTTGTTTATCCATCATGTATGTAAATACACCAGTAAAACAGTACTAATCTATAAAAGGCTTTAAAAAATGACCAAATTGTAGCTTTCTAGTTTATAACCTGGGTCTTCTGACGTATATATATGAACATCCTTGTATGTATGGTTTTCCCAGCAGAAAAAAAGTATGGCTTCCATCAAGTGTTGCATGAACGCAGCTTAAAAAAATCATCAAAGTAGAGCGTCACAATATTTTGTATCACTGTTAAAGGGCCTAAGGTTTGTGGCTGGTTTGGGATTGTTTAGGCTGCAATCTTAGTCAGTATACAGACAAATGAAGTGCTAACTTTACACAGATGTTGTTATTTAATCAGAGGTTGTTACATTTTGAAATCAGGTATACTGATGCTTTATTTTTGTCTCCCTCAGTGGTACGTCCTGCACCAGACAGCCTCCCCGAGATGATCAGCATCAGGATCGTGGACGACGATGATTCTGAGGTAGAGGTAGGTATACCAGAGGACACTCCCCCAGTGTCCTCTGGCGATGGAGAGGAAGTCATCTGGGTCTTGGATGACGAGGAGGAGGAGGAGGAGGAGGAGGTAGAGGTAGGTATACCAGAGGACATTTGGTGATGGAGAGGAAGTCATCTGGGTCTTGGATGACGAGGAGGAGGACCAGGTAGAGGTAGGTATACCAGTGGACATTTGTTCAGTGTCCTCTGGTGATGAGGAGGAAGTAATCTGGATTTCGGATGACATGTAAGCAGAGGAAGAGGTAGGTAGACCAGGGGACATTCCTCCAGTGTCCTCTGAGGATGAAGATGAGGTGAGCGAAGAGGAGCAGGAAGAGGAGTGCAAAGAGGAGAATGAAGAGGAGAGCGAGGACGAGGAGGACTCTTCAGACTCGCTCAGTGAGGATTCTGGGTATGAATCCATGTATGACTCTGAAGAGGACCTCGAGGATGAAGATGAAGAGGAGGACAACAGATCTCTCTCCCCGATGGACCAGCAGGTCCCGGAGGATTTCTACCGGAGATGGCAGCTGGTGTCTCCTCCTGTTCCTGATGCTCCTCCTCAGCTGCTGACTGTCCGACATCCACAGGAAGAAGATCCTACCTCACCTTCAAGATCAGAAGATAGTGCTCCCTCAACCTCAGGCCTCAGCTCCTCCACCAAGAGGAGCAGGGAGGAGATCCTCACAGAGCAGGTAAGTAGTAAGAGGCCCAGGTGTGACTGTGAGGAATGCTACGAGGAGAGTGCTCCCTCAACCTCAGGTCTCAGCTCCTCCACCAAGAGGATCAGGGAGGAGAGCTACATGGACTCCACTCCATCCACCTCAGGCTCCTACAGAAGACAAGGATTCTGGGAGTATCCCCCTGTGGTTGATGACAGCTATTCTGATTTGGATGACAGCCCTGATTCCTCCTGGAAGTGAAAAGTGGAATCTTTGTGTCTGGCAGGACTTTTCAAAGCCCAAGAAACCTTTCCACATGTCTGGTAGACAATGCTGTTAGGCAACCTTAACAGCTGCAAGTACTGTACAAGCATTAGGCACGATTTTTGATAGTTTAAATCAACTTCTGGAATCGTGCAGACTCAGAGATAGTTACTCTTTCTTACTTTGTTATGTTGTTGTGTATTTGTATATACGGTCCAGGTGGCTATACCAGACAAAGGTAAGGTAATATTTAATAGCAATAGTTTCTAAAGACGGCTGATAATTCCATGCACAGGTAATTAAACATTGTTTATTGTCCTCACTGTGTTGCACTTAACCATGTTTTATAAATTAGGTGTAGGGTGACTAGCAGACAGAGGTAAGTTTATACTGTCTAACATTAGAATCTAATGTTCATATCCACTTTTTTTTAAAATAAAAAGCAAATGCTGTCTTTAGCCACTTAGTTATACTGTTGTTTGTTTGCTTCTCAGATGTACCAAACATATGATGGTGCAGCCATCATGAGTGGGTCCACTGGAGGTGTACAAGCACATTTTAGAAGGCTCCATCCTGAAGCTATCTATGTGCATTGTTATGCTCATGAACTTAACCTGGTGTTGTGCCATACTTGCAAGGCCATCCCAGAGGCTGTGCGTGTACTCCTTTTCTTCAGCACCTCCCTAGTGAATCATCACAAGACGAGACGATGGAGAAGGCCAAGACTCGACACCCAAGATTCCCATGGCAACAGAAGACGTGTTTACTCCAGAGCAGATGTGAAGGATGGATGACTACAGGACCAGCTGGAGAGCGATGGGCACCTTGCTGTCACACAGCAAAGTAAGTGCTGATAAACTTAAGATGACTTTACATATGTGTATTCTTTTTATTATAGGTAAAGATATCATGCAAAGGTTGTAATACTATGTCCACACTAACACATGTCTTATGAATCTTTTTCACAGCGCAGGACTCCTCTGTGTTTTCAGTGTTCCTGCATGGGGCATCTATGAATGGACAACCAATCATTCCTCCAGAAGCCTCAGAGACTCACAAGCCCCTCCTACGTCTGCCCCACCAACCCAAACCCCTCAACACCACCCTCTTTACTCTTTCCATTTTTAAAATCATTGTGTTTCAGTGTATCTTGAAGAATCAGGCAGAAGGAGATGCTGAGGGAGAAAAAGATCAACAGGCAAGGTCAAGTCAGAGAGAGCAAGGGGATCCAGAGATGGATCAAGTTATCACAGAGAGAGGAGAGCAAACAGACCAAGAGAGTGAAAATGATGAAGCAGCTGCAGCAACCTACTCCACTACAGGGTTTGATTTAGGTGACAAAGACACAGGGCCCAGACAGATAAAGCTGAAGAGCTACCCACAAGATAGTTTTGGTACGCAGAAACGAGCATTTCACCACAGCTGGTTAGAATATACAGTCAACCAGAATACAGCTTTCTGCTTCCCATGTAGAGTGTTCGGCAAAAACATCAAACATGATAGTTTGGTCAGTAGTGGTTGCAAGAACTGGAAGAAAGCTTTAGTCATCATTGGCAAGCATGAGATGGCACAAACACATAAGGACAATGTCGTTGCATGGAAAAGCTACCAGGCAACTAGCAAACAGGGAAACATTGCACAGATGATAGCATCTGCAAATGTGAGTGAGATAGTAGAGAGAAGAGAGTATCTCAAGCAAATTGTTGCAGTCACTTCTATGTTAGGGAGACAGGGACTCCCTTTTCGTGGCCATGATGAAGGTAGAGACAGCACAAGCAGAGGGAATTTTCTTGCGTGCATGGAGCTTTTGAAGGAATTTGATCCTTTTCTTCAAAAACATAACCCCCCATCAAATCAGTATATCTCACCAACATTCATTTTATGTGTTCCTACTAATAAAGATTGTAAACCTAAATGGCATTTCCTCAAAATAAAATTCTGCTTAGGGCCCCAATTTGGCCAGGGGCGGCCCTGTGTAGGCCTATAGGTCAGCCTTGTTAGCATGTGGTGGTAGGCCTACAGTAAGACCAGGCAGAGGCAGTGTTGTACAGATGCAAACTGTGTGTTTGGAGGTGGAAGCCGGAAGTGCAGTCGTAATCTGCACGTAATCCTGGCAGTCACAAACATATCCCTGAATGAAAGAAACCAATTTATTCAAACACTTGAGCTTTAAATTAAAACTAAATATCTAAATTTTGGCAGTAATTTACATGATTATCAATGCACAATTTTAATAAAAACACACTTTGAAATTGAATAGCCTATATAGCCAACACAGGCACCAGAAATAAAAGGCCTAAAATAAAATGATAACCTTTATAACACATTTCAAATACCTGAAACAGTTTCACTAAAGTAGTCTGAGCGGTCATTTGAAGAGGCAGGTGAGAGACAGAGAGACAGAGATCAGTGTTCGTGTGTGTGCGCAGATTTGCCATGCCTCTGCAGGCGGTGCAGCAGCCGGACCAGGGGTGTGTCATAACAGGGAGTGTCCCGGTTTACCAGCATATACAGCGGCTCCGAGCTCCCCCGCCCCGCCGACTCGACACCTCTCTACTCCCGCTGCAGCTTGAAGCACTCACCGCGGCTCAGTCAGGTCCAAACCGGTCCGTCTCTCCGTCCGTCTCTCCGACCACAACCGTTCAGGTACGTCAAAACCTACTGTCTTCCAGTGAATCAGCACAGCACAGATTACAGCACGGTCATCTGATGCCTCAATTAAGGCTGCCGACGGAATGAACCGTTACTTTCCACTCTAACGGAAACACAGCTTTATAGCCTAAGAAGAGGCAGTGTGAACAAAGAGAAATATATTTCGCTCTTTTCTGCATATACAATTATTTAAGACTCTTTGAACCCCAATAGTTCGTTTGGAAACCATTCAAAGAAGTGTAAACCATTCTTTTTTGTCAAAAGTGCAACGCAGCCACTGCCATATATGGACACGCAGTGAAAACCCACTAACCCAGGATGATGATTCAAGATACTGTTTGGTTCCACTTAGGGTTAAATTAACCCATAACTCTTTAAAAAGGGTTAAATACATTTTTTAATTTCCTCTAACAGTAATAAATGGGGGAATTAACTGAGCTTGGCAGCTGTATACTCTATTTAAAGACATCCATGGTTTCCATAGTAACATACAACCAAATAGTGGGGCCGTTCAGTGAGGAAGTTGGTCACAACATCCTGAGAGTGTTGCAGCAGCTGTGATGTGAGTGCCAGACTTTGTAGTTTCAGTCTGTGTCTGTCTGAGTGACTCTGATGAGAAAGAGGTTTGTTAGCCAATCAGAAAGCGCTTTGTCAGGTCCACACTTTGCTGTTGCACAGACAGAGATTAGAATTAGATATAAGCCCCAAACAACTGTGTGCATGCTTTCTGTCCCCTGTGCGTGCAAGAGGGCAGGACAGCTGAACTGCTGTGGATGTTTGTAGCCATGTTTATAACCAAAGTGAAGTTGAAGAGAACACTGAAGTGTTTTCTAAGGGGACAGTTTAAGGCCTGACATTAAATCAAATCTGGTGGTGCGTCCACACAAGAAAAAATGAACAGCATAGGTCTTTAAACTGTAAACATGTTTTGGTCTCCTTACAAGCTGACCCTTTGGTCAATGCCTGTACCACGTCGTTCTCAGAAGCAACATCACAGGTGGCAGCACATTGTTATAAGACAGCTGACAGTATTATGAAGGAGGGTAGGTGGGTTTGTCATGATTTGGGCTGACCATTGTTTCAGTATTTAAAATCACTGAGCTACACTGCAGCAGTGTAGCTATTAGCTTAACAAAATAGAGCAGATGACACACTTGCTAACACAGATGGCCAGTGTGACCGCGCCCTTAGGTTATACATACTTTAGAGGACATTTAAAATAACTCTCAAGAAGTGTTTTGTCCTGCAAGTTATAAAGTCAATGCTTCTTAAAAAAAATAGACTATGGCAACAATGGTTTCTATAAACAATGAAATAGTTTTACTTGTTGAAATGAAGCCAAACCATAACTACCAGTGTGACGGATCATCTGAGTCATTGTTTTTTTGTGAGAAGCCTCGTGGCTGGGTGAGGCATTAAAAAAGACCTTCTTCTTCAAACCTTAATATGTCCCGCATGAGACAGTGACCATACAAATCTTTCCAAAGCATACATTTGAAGGGATGAAGTAAGCAATCAGTTGTGACAACCATTCGTCGGAGTGGGAAATATTGACTGTTTTTCAGGAGAAAAGTTGAGAGATTTTCCATAAGCTTCATTGACTACAGTGTTATTGAAGTGGAAGGGGAAAAAAGGCCCACCCCTCTAAAGCACACGTTGGGCCTTTTAGCTGCTTTGCATTCAGACCTTTATCAGCACACATTCAAGTTTTATTACATGTAAAATATACAAATGTCTATTTAATAGATTGGATTGCTCTGACAATCCCAACGATGTTATTTTGTTAAAAGTATCAGATTTTTCAATCCGGCATGTGACAGAGTACCCTGCACCTGGCTGTACTTTTAGGTAGATTGCACCTTTAACAACCCTCCCACATCCTGTAATAACCATATATATATCATTGTGGTTATTCACATAGTCATAAACATCCATTTTGAATGTCGTGGTGTTACACTGTGCAAACGGACGGCAGGGAAGCAGAGTGCTTATTAAGGAGTGTTCAGTTTGTGTAGTCTGGTATCTGTTCTGAGCCAGCTGAGGGGGCAGCTGTACACCCCCTCGAGAGACAGAAAGCCACATGCACGGAGAAAATGAGTCATCAAGAAATCTCCCTTCCTGGGGGAGGAATCATTTGTGTGAGGAAAACTCAGCAGGATCCCGAGATAACAAGATTTCACAGATTAAACTATTAAAGGCTTGTTTTCGAAAGAAGCACACCAGCAGACAAATCACAAGAGTCATCATATGAATCCACTTTGTCTCTCTGCACAGTGGATACAGTTTAAAACACATCCCTAAAGCGAAGGCACACACAAAAGAGAGAGAGAGGGAGGGAGGGAGAGGAGCAAAACATGGGGGAGGGGATCACATAGCTGAGGCTGGAATGACACACTACCTCCATGTTTGTTTGGGGCAAAAAAAGGTTCAAAGAATGTGCAGGGGGGCTACACACAATGTTTCAGAATACCTCTGGAGTCTGCAGAGTTTTGGGGTGCCCTGCAGACTCCATCTGTTTTCCCCAGCATGCCTGTGATGAAGCACTGACCACTCATCATGTGACCTGTTCTATTTAAACACATAGATATATGTGTGTGTTGAGTCAAACAAACTACCCCTCCTTGAGTCACTTCATCCAAGTTTGAGCTTCCTGAAGCCGTTCTGGATTTATTTCAGTCGGCTGTTGCCCTTCATTCAAGAAAACTTTGCTCAAAACATTTCAATCTGTGCAAAACAAACCATCACATTCTTCCCTCCCTCTCTCTTTTTGTCATAGTGGAAAATACATTTTTAACACCGACTTAGATATTTTCAAAGTGTGAGCTGATTCAGATGCTGTCTCTCCTCTCTAATGTTTTTGTCTTTATTAAGTCACAGACAGTACAAGCAGCTAACAGTGGGATAAAACAGCTTTGATGTGCTCATACAGACACAGCGTTTCTCTCCATCAGAGAGAAAGATCACAGTCAAAGTCAGTCATATTTATTTAGTGCCACAGAAACAAAGATCCTCAGATTGAGAAGTCGCACAAAAGTGATATTTTCAATGGAGAACTGCTTCAGAGGAAAGGTATTCAGCTGGTGCTGGATGAAAAGATTTCTTGAACTTTTCAGATTTTCTTTTTAAAAGCAGCTCTATTTTCTGGCAAACAGAGAGCGACATGTGCAGTGAGTGTTTTCAACATTTATCATGGGGATTGAATTGGTAACATTTTGTTATGAAACTTACACTACAAGCAATGATGTCAAACTTTACTTCAAGTGAAGTGAAAACCGAGGTAACAGCTTTTCCTGTTGCTCTCGATGTGTCACAAAGAGCATCGGCACAGTTTATTAAAATGTCTTTAGTTACCTCAGAATCAAATTTGACTTTCTCTGCTCTGAATCAGTCTCCATGAGGACTCGTGTGCTCAGCTCAGCTCTCTGTACACAAGCTGCTTTCACATTGCTGGGCGTGTCACTTTAAGTTAATGAATGGCTGTATATCAACTCAAGCAGAAGTTACTGATTTATCATCAGTTTGAACATAAAGTTATTGCATTATGATCTTTCTATTATTCTCTCACTGCAGTCATTTAAGATGGTTGCAAAGATGTTTAAACTATTTAAAGCATCTGTGGTACTTATAGAGATGAGGATTTGTCACCAAATGTAATCATGGGATGCTACTAGCTGTGGTCACTTGCTACACTTATTCCATTTTATAGAAACATTTCTTGAAGAAGACGTTCTAAACCTCCAACAGCAGGTCAGTTATAATGTCGAGCCCTGCACAAAGGAGGTTTGATCGATTCTTCAGCTGACTGCAGGTTTCAGTGGCCCACTCTAAACGGGGGTTCTAGAAAGTGAAATAGTTCATAGTTCCTGCAGTGCAAAATCAATAAAAATTGGGGAGGGCTCCAACAGCTCCTAGAACTTTTAAAAGTTCCTGCGGTCCAAACAATATGTTCCATAAGTGTGCATGTGTCACAGTTTCACTGGGTGATCAAACAATGAGAGCTCCATCACAGCCTCATATTAATATCAACTATAAAGTCGACTCCTACAGATACCAGCATGGTAAATAAACAAGAACAATTAAACATAGGGATACAATATGGAATATGTTATATAAGAAGAACTCAAGGAATTAGAAAAAGTTAAATAACTTTGGATTAGACTGGTTCAAGAGTAAACTGCTGACTGTTATTTGTTATTTTCTGAATTAAAAGTAATGGACCTGTGGTTACAAGGGTTGGGCCAGAGATCTTTAAAACATTGAACTTAATGTCCACTGCTGCTCACGTCTCTGTTTTAAGTGTGGTGACTGGCCTGGCTTTTAAAAAATAAAGACAGAAGGGGGAACAGCGAGCCTTATATGTCCACAGGCTAAAACTGCGCTAACCAGCAGCACCTCTTAAGGGCTAACGCTCCTGACACATTTCATCTTGTTTCTATAGTCTGTGGCAGAAATGTGGTTTTGTGGTTTAACGTGTTTTTCTGTGATAGACTTGAACTGGCGACTTCACTGCATCAACAAGACACTGAAAAGTCAGGATGCCAGACTATCATTGGTCAAAAAATGCTTACAATACAGTTACCATGTAAACTTGTGGTTTTTACAGGACTCAGTGTAAATGAATGAAAATAACAAAACATGTTGGTTTGCTTAAGCAAAGGCACTTTTTGGTTTGGCAAACTGTTTTCACTGCCTTGAGACTAAAGGCTAAGCTAAGCTAGTTGGTTCTTGGCTTTAGCTTCATGTCATAGAGTGACATCAAATTTTTCATCCAAGTCTTGAAAAACCAATATGCACAATTTTGAAAAAATCTCCAACTAGCTAAATAACAAAAGCAGATAACTTGTAACTTCATCCTGTGTTGTTTGTAGTCTCACTGACGTCACCTATTAGTTCCTGAAGTGGTGTTTTGAAGCCCTTCGACAACACTGCCCTATTGGAAAGCTAACTTTTGATTAGTCTAGAAACAGGCAAAGAGGTACAACGTGCCCACCTGTCAATCAAATAAGCCAAGTCTTAATTTAAGCAAATGTGAGCATAACTTTACATAGAAAAAAAACAAACAGTTCAGCTATGAAAGTTGCTCCGCACAGTTTTTACAAGATATAAAATTAGCTATTGAGACCTAAACCCTTTTTTGAACCAGGCTTTATACATGTTTATCTTTGCTGTAAAAACTTTGTAATATGGGAACTAAAGGAGAGTCCTTGGCTTTTGCTGTTAGCCTCAAGTACACACTCAAAAAACTGCATTTTTCTTTCACTATAGTACAGTATAAGCCTCATATTGTAACACGAGAGATTGCAGCTTGGTCAAGATTAGAAATCAACTCCTCTGTTTTTCCAGTCAATATACTATTCTGCCTCTGCTAAGGTGGTGTAGCATTGTATTTTCTACTTTTAAACAGAGTGAAAAACAGATGACGACACGTTATCTTGACAATACAACCTTTGTCTGATGAACAGGAACCAAGAAGAACTCTTCCTGGTTGCCTTTTAATTGACATGGCTATTTAGGAAAACAAGAAGTCAGGTTGATTCAAACAGTGATGCACATCTAAAATGCTGGATTGTTCTCAGCACTAGATCACATAAAGAAAACTGATCCACATTAAAAACGGTTTTGCTGTCAAACAAGTATGTGATTCTCTCCATTCTTTCAATAACTGTAATGGCCAATATTCAAAGTTTCCAAATTTCATTATGTCCATGTCCCGAGATGTGAGAGCTTAGTGTTTCTTAGTGAATAATCATTTCAACCATTTTGGTTGATACCATTGTTTTCATGTTTGACTAATTAGGGGGTCAACATTGTTTATTCTTGCCTTGTGTTTGAAGGGTTAGTATAAATCTCCCTGTGTGGCCCCAGACACTTTCGATCTGCCGCCTGACTTTTCTGGCATTCAAGTTTCTCCATGCTGGAAACTCCACCAGGCAACTTTAGAGCCACTGTAGGAAAATTAAAGCGTTCAACATCCTCCTTCAAGCTATAATGACCCCCGTGGAATTGTGCAGCAGCCCCATTTTCCTTCGTCTGGCCAAACATGGAGGCAGACGCTACAAAGTCATGGTCGCTCAGATGGAGCATGACCTGGTTTGACTCTGTGGTACCCAGCTGTTTGACTACATATTTTTGTTATGACTGTGTTCACTGTTAAGGAGCTTTAAACCCATGTTGGTCTCTGTAGCTTAACCCCTTTAGATACCTTAATGTATTGTCTCCTCTTACTCAAAATGTCAAATATCTATCCCAAAGTGCATTGCATCAAAATCCTGCAACATGTGTCAACAAGTGTCCCATTCAAAGAGCTGGATGTTGACTGAAAGTGTTTGTTACCAGAATGACCCTCCGACTTTCCGTGTTGAAACACTCCAGAGCTACATAATAGAGTGCACTGAGTGTGTTACATAAGAGGAAAGCAGAAATTGAGGGGGAAAAGGATCCCCACATTTGTTGGCCTGGTTACATGAATCCTGAGCCACTTCCCTCTCTCAGGGTCAGGCTCAGATTCCTGCCATGTTTGTGGGCAGACTGCTGCCTAAAAGAATGGACGAATCTCGCTCCAACGTGGACCGTTAGTCATGCAAACTGAGAGGCAGCGGGTTCAAGCAGCATTCCTGTGGAAAACTGGAATCTGTGCTCATTTTGACCTGAATGACCTACAGTTCTTTTTTTCTTAGTTTTCACACTTCAAAACCTGAACTTTACATTTATTAAAAGCTGTTTTGGTCAAGAATGTTGATGGCTTCGATGTGTTTTAGGAGGAAAATAGGAAAATAAGAAGATAAGAAGGGCCCGACAGATAAGGTATTCTGGGGGCTGATACCGATATTAGGGCTATAAAAAAGTAACAATACAGATATATTGGCTGATATCTTTCTTAGATATGTCTACGATCTTAAGAGATTAATAGATAAAGATACACATACTCATTTAGTGTGTTGCTAGCTTAAACAACGACAGCTACCACTGCCATCAATGTGTGAATGGGTGTGAATGGGTAGGTGTGACCTGCAGTGTTAAAGCGCTTTGAGGGTGCGGTCACACTGGCAATCTGTACCGTGCTCCCCAGTCCCCCGCTGGCCTTGACGGCCTGTGACCACACTGCTCCAAAACAAACTGGGCCTTAGCACGGTTACCTCTTGTACATAACTTTGTAATACAGCACATGCACGCTTTATGTTATTATGAAGTGTTCTCAGTTTACAAACAGACAGACTCGAGAAATAAAAAAAGGGACGCGCAGTCGAGTCCGTGTCTGCACATCGGAGAACAACACAGAGAACATGACAGCTACTTTACTGAATTTATGTTTTATTTTCAGTCATTTTAATCAGACACAGCCATAAATAAAAAAATTAAATAAAAGAGACGTGTGGCCAAGTAGTCAGCAGACTAGAAAAGTGCTATATAAGCAAAAGTCCATTTACCATTTCCTATATTAGAGATCAAATTAGCTGATACCGATATTCAGGTGCAATATGATCGGCCGGCCGATGAATCGATCGTGCTCTAATGATAAGTCCTAGAAGTCCTTAAAGAGAGGTCAGGCTCTAATCTGAGAACAACTCTTCACTTCAGAGAAACTCTGTGTACTCTCTTTTCAGTGTTTACTGTTGGAGCCATAATTAGGCAGTGTGGGTCAGAGCTCAATAGAGACTCCTGTTCAGTAGGTCTACACGAAACAGTCCTAAAGGTTTATTAACAAACAAAGCTATGTTTACATTTAATACCAACTGTAAACCAGAGACTGTAGTATTCATTCAGTTTTTGATTCTTTAAAAAGGTCTTTCCCAACAGAACAGATGATTTCCTTGTTGGAAAACCTTTTTTACAGAGAGCTTCCAGACTCGTTGAAAACAGTTTATACCAGGATGCTTAACTTAACTACCATCTTAAAAATCTTAAACATCCACACATGCTGCTGAGAGGCCAGCCGGCACAGACGCCCACTTGAATCTCTTAAATGGGCGCCACATGTCTCAATGCCTTCAGATACGGCTCCAGGGTATGGAATGTGTTTGCATGAATGGGTGAGAGTACCTAACTTGAACTTGTCTTCTGCTGATGTGTTCATTAAGGCTGTGCAATAAGTATGTGTTCCATGATAGCACTGAGATTTGTAAAGCAGTTGATATTGAGCTGCTAGGTTTCTATCTATTTAAAGGAGTGATCCACCAGTTTTACAAACTACTCGACCTGTGACGACAGTTTGTCTTCTGTGGCTCAGATGGAGGCTGAGTTTCATGAGTATCTTAGATGGGACTTGGATTTTAAATCCTAATAGAACAATACCTGAATTCACACTGATCTGAGAAAAGGCACAAGCACACTGCATTATGGGAAGTGTAGGATTCAGTGTCTAAACAACTTTGACAACAAGTGAAGTTCAAACCTGACTGAATTATGTCCAGACAATCAAATCTGTTTATTTTATCTCTAAATATTTTCTTAACTACTATACTACACCACCATAATATAATAAATAGAGTTACAAATAGCAGGGGAACCCAATTAATACATAAAACATGTTTTATTGTAGCGTTGATTGCATGCATAGTCATGATCATTTAAAAAAAGAGAGAAATGAGAAAACATGTCAAGTTTCCTGTCTATTCATCTAATATTGCACACAGTGTTTTTTATTTTGCCACCATCACTGGCAGTTATGACAACGTCTGAATCATGTCTGCCAGGACTTCCTTTTCCTGCTCAACTGGGGAAAACACCATGAACACAGGGTATCATGAGTGACTCACCCTGCTGACCGTTAATATCTAACTTTATCAGTAAACATTATCTTTGTCTCCATGGCAACAACTCAGCCTTCAGGGGAGTGGCTTTTTATTTTCCAGAGCAAAACATCTGTCAAAAAAAGAGCATCCCAGTCTAACTTTTTACAGGATAATGCAAAGAGTTTTTACTCCATCTGTTTGTGAAGTACGAAAGCTCTACATATCTGGTGTTTGGTTTTTCCTGCAGGAAGGATGGCAGCCCACCACCCAGAGTTTGAGCGGGCTGGACAGAATACAGGTCTCCAGATATGGAGGGTGGAGAACTTCGACCTGGTGCCCGTCCCGGAGAAACTGTACGGGGGATTTTACACGGGGGACGCCTACCTTGTCCTCAACACCATCAAGCAACGCTCAGGGAACCTGCAGTACGACCTCCACTTCTGGCTGGGTGAGTACAGCGAGTCTCTTATAACACAGAAATAATGTTCAGGTAAATGGAATGTTCACTTTATTCATTCACTTTATTCATTCACTTTGATGAATACAATTCATTTAAAGGCGAGGATTGAAGTCCAAATTTCAGCATTTTTTCCTATTTTGTCCCTGAAACAACAAAAAACACAAAAAGGAAATGGACAATCTAACTCAGAGCAAAGACGTATAAAGTTTGAAGGCTTCACATTTAAATGATCGTAAAAAAAGTTATCCAATGATCATAATCAAAGTTCAAAAGCAACAAGAGCAAAACATTCTCAGGATCCGTTTTTGCTTTTTTATGACGTTTCCATCATGGACATCTGGCCAAACCTAGAATAACAGTCATCTCAGTTTTCCCATGCACCTACAGTACAAACCAGTTTAGCCAAACTGTACCTTTGAAGAAAGTAATTTCACTTGACAGCGTTTGCTGTTGATGACAAATTGAATGTGACATATGTAACCTAGGAGGAGGCAGACTGAAAAACATGTTGACAAAAGCAAAAAAAAACTCTGCTGTGTGTACCACACTTTTACTGTTGTGTTTTTTTTTCCAACTGTGTTGCCTCTTCTGCTTACTGCCTTCATAGTGGTCAGAAGTGCAGTTATGAGCTTTCTGAAGCTTGAATGAGTGACATGGATACAGTGGAAGGTACTTTTGGTGATCACTCCTCAATAAAAGCCTTTTTTGACCTTGGGTATCAAACATTCACAAATAAATTCACAATGTTTCTAAAGTTTGACTGTCCTTTATTTTGAACATAGAAGGCAGATTATATTCTAAATCTATGAAGGTGAATTAACTCAAACCATACAATCAACCCGACAGATGTAAAAGATGAGTACTAACGGAAGCTCAGTATTTGACTCTTAATTATAATTAATTATGACGGACTTAGCAAACAGAGAGATGTTCAGATTCTTACTGATTTCAAATGCATTAGGTCAGCTTGATTGATCATGGAAATAGCATCAGCATGATCTGATGTAACCCTCTCACGCTCTACTGAACTGCTCTGTGGGTCAGGATGTTAAATAACATCTCATGTTGAAATGCTGTGCTGTGATTGGACCCCCTGCTGCGTCCACATATCGACCTCCTGGCTCACAAAGTCTGCAGTGAGGGAATCCCAGAAACACAATATGTGCCACCCTGTGCAGGTCTACAGTTCGACTGCTGCAGCAGAGTAAGGACCAGGATTTAAATGGAGCATGTCTGTGGTTTCTTCCTCATAGGTGATTCCTGCAGCCAGGATGAGAGCGGCTCGGCGGCCATCTTTACAGTCCAAATGGACGACTTCCTGGGAGGAAAACCCATCCAGTACCGTGAGGTGCAGGGACATGAGTCCAAAACATTTCTCGGCTACTTCAAGTCTGGAATCAAGTACATGGTGAGATGTCATGCTTATAGCTACAAACTGTACTCTGTAACAACTAATAGACACGTTTGTTAAAGGGATTTAACATTTAAAACCTGGGCTCATGTTTGAATAATGTTATGTAGGGCCCTCGATGATTGCAAGTTTATTAACAGTTTTAAGGTTAGACATACTTTTTTTTCACCTCTTAATATACATTTTTTAAAGATTTATTTTGGGGCTTTTTATGTCTTTATTTGGGAGACAGGACAGTGGGTAGAGTCAGAAATCAGGGAGAGAGTGGGGTGCTGGTGGCGCAGTGGTTAGTGTATGGAGGCTGTAGTCCTCCAAGCAGGCGGCACTGGCTCACTGGCTCACTGGCTCACTGGCTCACTGGCTCTCTCTCTCTCTCTCTCTCTCTCTCTCTCTCTCTCTCCACGATTTCTAAAGATTTTTTTCAGAGTCAGAAATCAGGGAGAGCGAGAGAGAGAGAGGGGAATGACTCCTCCCAGTTGGGGGTGGCTGGAAAATATCTAAAGGGAGGCATCCAGAAAGCATCCTAATCAGATGCCCATTATTTATTTCCTATCTTCAAAATGTTACATCCACTTATTTATGACTTCCAAGTATTTATTTTTTAAACCAAGTATTTGAATTCCAAAAGTTTCCAATTGAAATCTTTCATATTCTTCTTATTTTAATGTACAGCTAAATCAAAAATAGCATGTATATTTAAACTTACAATGCAACATTACAAAGCATGACATGTTTAATATAATAAATCATAACTTGAATTTTGTCATTCAGTATCCTGATTAAACATCCAGTCTGTTATGATGCAGTTAGTTTGTCAATGAAGTTACTGAATTTCACAGAATCCATTTATTTTACTTTATAAAAAGTGTAATTAGAGTAGGGTTTAACAGCACACTAACGAAACAGGCTTTGTTCATAGTTTACAGAGCAAAGATTTACCAAATAAGTGCTTCTTCCACGTGTACAGTACAGAATCAGCAGAGATTAGAGGTATCGCTTTGTCCACAGGGGCGCCAAAACACACACAAACCAAAAGCTCCTCACAGGAACTCTTAATGAAATTTTGTCTAATGCAAAAAAGTCAAAACTTTTTTTTATCTTATCTTCCAGAAAGGGGGCGTTGCTTCTGGGTTCAAACACGTCGTCACCAATGAGGTGGTTGTGCAGCGGGTGTTCCAGGTCAAAGGTCGCCGTGTTGTCCGGGCAACAGAGGTGCCTGTCAGCTGGGACAGCTTCAACCAGGGAGACTGCTTCATCCTGGACCTGGGAGATGTGAGTCAGACTCAAAGGATTAGCTACAGGAATTATGGGAAACATGATCTTCATTTTTTGTGCAATACAAAATCTTACTGTATAAATCCCACTCAAGTTCAACTATTCACCTTCTTTTCAATCTGCTCTTAATTTTGATGAACAGGAGATCTACCAGTGGTGTGGCTCCCAGAGCAACCGCTTTGAAAAGCTGAAGGCCACTCAGGTGGCCAAGGGTATCCGTGACAACGAGCGCAGTGGGAGAGCCCGAGTTTACGTCTGTGAAGAGGGGGTGGAGAGAGAGAAGATGTTAGAGGTGAGATCAGTGATTACTGAACACTAATTAAGGCTCAATATGACTTCTGGGTTTAAAATCTCTGCTTCTGTCCTCAGGTTTTGGGTCCTAAACCAGATCTGCCTGATGGAGCCTCGGATGACATCAAAGCTGATGCTTCAAACAGGACGAGAGCCAAACTCTACAAGGTGAGAGTACAAGTTCAGGTAACAATTCAGATCATTTCACCTTGGCTATCAGCATAATTACCAGCAATAAAACATCTTGCAATTCAAAGGTAAGTAGACATTACAGTTTTTATATTTTAAGTTATTTCACGTCCATTCTCTCATATTTTTGTCCCGTCTCTGCAGGTGTCCAATGCTAGTGGGGGCATGACCATCGCACTGGTGGCAGCAGAGAACCCGTTTGCCCAGAGCGCCCTGGAGTCCGGAGACTGCTTCATTCTGGACCACGGCTGCGATGGCAAGATCTTTGTCTGGAAAGGTGAGTAAGATGGGGGGGTTTGTTCATCTAGAAGAAGTCTGTTCTCTAGAGCCCTGCTGAATAGATATTGGTGGGTCTATTCTGAACTTTAAAACCTAGTACAGAGTCAACTAAATAAACTCATATGTCGAGGTCTCAGAAAAAATAGAATTTGGTCTTTGTGGTATTTCTCTAGAGCAGCACCACCACAAACTCTTTTGTTCTGAAGCCCATTAATGTCTTTGTACATGCTAAACCTGTTCAATATGTCTCATGAAGTACAATAAATACTGATTGATTGGTTCTGCATGCTCGGTATCAAACTGGAGAGTAGCTAGTTAGCCTTTTTTGATTCAAAAGTAAAAATAATCGGGGCGCTGGTGACACAGTGGTTAGAGCGCACGCCCCATATATGGAGGCTGTAGCCATCCAAGTGGGCGGCCCAGGTTCAAATCCGGCCAGTGGCATGTCATTCCCTTATTCTCTCTCCCTGATTTTTGACTCTATCCACTGTACTGTCTCTCCAATAAAGGCACAAAATGCCCAGAAATAAATCTTAAAAAAAAAAAAAAGTAAAAATAATTAGCAGCTCTTTTATTTCTTAATATTTATGTAATCTGAACAAAAAATGTAAAAATGCTCACTTTTTATTGTTTTTTACAGGAGCCTCAAGCGGGCTTGGTTCAATATATTTTATTCACTACATCCTTACTCCTTGTTATTACAAGATATTTCTGGTTGTTTTCTGGAATACTTGCTTTATTTATCTCTTTATCACGAGAAAACAAACTTTGTTTTCATGAGATAATGGGATAAATAAGTCGAGATCTTGAGAAAACAACTAGTTAGCTATCACAAGAAAATTGAGTAATTACAAGATATTGAACTATGTCCTCTTAGGGTTTCCTTAGTTTTTTATACAACAATCTTCCTGCTTATATTTACAATCCAAAATCGTTTTTCTTGCTTACAGGCAAAGACGCCAACATGGACGAGCGTAAGGCAGCGATGAAAGCAGCTGAGGAGTTCATTAAGAAGATGGGTTACCCCAAACACACCCAGGTCGAGATCCTGCCAGAGATGGGTGAGACGCCGCTCTTCAAACAGTTCTTTAAAAACTGGCGGGACAGAGATCAGACGGTGGGCCTGGGCATCGCCTACATCGCTAACAGCATCGCCAAGATCGAGAGGGTGCCATTCGACGCTGCCAGCCTGCACGACTCTGCCGCCATGGCTGCCCAGCATGGCATGGTGGATGACGGCAGTGGAGAGAAACAGGTATGAGGATAGAGTCCTGACCTTTGTTCTAACTCACACCACCTCTATGACCTGGAGAGGAACTTGCTTGATTATCCAGCAATGATTTATGTTGAGAATATTTCTGTAATGTGATTTTCAGGAGTATAGAAATGAATGAAAACAAACTAGCCTAAGCTGCTGCTGCTGCTGTTACACATGTCTCCTGTAGGGGGCACCAGATTTAGTTTGTGGAATCTGTGCATGAGTGAGTGTATGCACCAGAGCTTTAGGTGTAGAGCATTTTTCACTATAATGAAGACATAACCGAATATAAAAGTGAACATTTATATTATTTATTGTACATCCATTTAACACAACATGAATCCCTAAATATTCTCACAAACCTTTTTCTGTGGTGGTTTCTTCACAGATCTGGCGCATTGAGGGGTCTGACAAGGTGCTGGTGGATCCGTCCACATACGGTCAGTTCTACGGAGGAGACAGTTACATCATCCTTTACAACTACCGTCATGGAGGACGTCAGGGACACATCATCTACATGTGGTAAGAATGCAGGAGACCAGCAGGCAATCAGCAGAAAAAACTGAATCAGGCAACTTCTCAAAATACAAACCACACGAAACAGGTCAATCAGTGTTTTTTGTTTTTTTGCTTTCTGGAGGATTCAGAGAGGATAATGACTCTGAGAAGCCTGACTGCTAATATATTTTAATTGAAAAACAGAACTGACTTTTTTTGTTTAAGGGTCCATAGAGTTGTGCATTATTGGCACTACAGAGCAACGTAGTTTCTTTAGATTGTGCATTTCCACAATCAGTGGTATGTACGAGAACTTGCATATGGAGTTACATAATAGACAATGCAATAATCTCCAGGTGTCTGCAATGCCAAAAAAGGCAACTTGTTAGACAGGCTTCATACATTGTAAATATTCTTTTTTTTATTTTTATAAAATGCATTCATCACATTTGTGATCTATCTGTTATACAGAATGAGCTTTGGTGCAAAACATGTAATGTGAAACATAACTTTTGAGCACAGAAAAACTCCAAAGGCTGCCTTCAAGAGGTAAACACAGCATGAAAGTCAAATTTGTAATATATGAGTTCAAGGGCTGAAATGTTTATAGAATGCACAAGCTATTTAGTGTAAGTGTCCAGTCTACAACAGTGATAATTAAGTGTCCATACAGCTCAGATGTATGTATATTTTTTTAAATATCAAGCTGTATTTGACCTTGAAAGATTAAAGAGGACCCTATCCCTATGGTAACCCTAACCCAACTGCAAACGAACACAAACGGGGGAAAAGAAAAGTTCAGCAACAGACTCTTACAGAATCAAGAAATGTCCAATAATATGAATAAGATCAAGAGGAACACATTGTGTTCTTTCTATAAAGTAATTCTCTAAATTAAGTGGTCTTATGAGCTGCTGCAGCACGGCCACGTCTATTTAACGTGCTTTCAAGTTTTCCAGGAACAGAACACAGAAGTCGTTAAGTTCATCTCTGGCTTTAGTGTGATATGGATGAAGAGTCACAGTCTGTCTTTCTTATCGTGGTGAATGAAACTAATACCGTCAAATTGTTGCCAGGCAGGGCGCGGATTCCAGCCAGGACGAGATCGGGGCCTCTGCGATCCTTGGGGCCCAGCTGGATGAGGAGCTCGGTGGTGGTCCTGTGCAGGTAAAACATCTGCTGTTTGTTTGTTTCATTGTTTCATTTTCATCTTTTCATTCATGTTGTTTAAGTCTCTGCTCTCCTCTGGCTAACTCAGCGCTCTTACCTCCTCCTTCCTGACCTTTAAATCCCTTTACTCTGTCTCCTCTCCTGAACGGTTTCCCTGCTGCTGCTTCTGTCCTCCTTGGTTTCCTTCCTTTTCTGTGTCTTCAGGTTGTTGGTGCTCCTATAACCACTCAGGTATTCTCCCTGCCTGCTTTACACCTCCTCCTCAAAAAGACTCCCACGTGTTTGTCAATATAGCCAGTGATTAAAAGATTCAAGCAGATAAATGTTTTCTACTTTTATCTTCACCTTTAAGATGTCATTAAAGTGATAATTAGTTCAATTGGATTTGCAGTGAAGGCATGATCGTCGAACACAAACAGGACATTCCAGTGTGGATGTTGGTGGGTGGATCCCTCCGACTCTGTCGCCAGCTCTGTCTGCTCCACATAAATAAAGCCCTGTTCCAAAATCTGCCCGGGCACACAGTCAGATCATGACTGTGATATAACTTGTAAATAAGATCTAAAGTTAGAGTTTGGACGTAACTGTTGAGACCACTTTGATTTGTTTGGATCAGTCCTGGCTCTGAACTAACTAACATCGTCTTCTTTGATAATTCGTCTGTTTTTACTCCACTCTTCACTCTCGCATGTTAAACCATCATGTTCATGTTGTGACTGCTGTGGAACAACTCTGTGTCTGTGTTGAGCACTAAGGGAACTTTGCATTGGAAACACTCACTTGATTTGTCAGTTTTTGGGATGTTTTTTTCACCCCTCTAACACTTTATAAAAGCACCTCTTAATGGTCAGTGTGAACAGAGAATCATAACAGCAGGAACAACTGTGCTGTTGTTTATAAGAGAGACTTTAAATATTACTAATGTTTCATTTGTGTTCAAATGTTTCAAACAGCTGCACAGATGTTTTATTTTCCAGAAGGACGCACAAAGAATTAAGAGTGCTGTGAATGTTTGTACTGTAGAAATGAATGACTGCACACCTCACAAAGATCCATTATACTGCCTCCATTGTCTCTTGTTAACTAAGGACCAGTATAATTTGCTCTAATGACTGGTTTGGAAAAAGAATGGACTTCTATAAATATTTATCTCTAAAGCTGCAGACCAAAGACACTCATTATTCTCTTACAGACACTGACTGTCATCACCCTGCATCGTTTTTATTTTTTCAAACCGTGACATCCACTTGGCTCAGCCCCATGCTTCCATCTTGTGTCTGTAGTCAGTATTGCAGTAGAGATTTTTCACATGTTGCTGATGCTTATAAACACAACATGGGCTGATCTGTCTGGTGTGATTTAGTTGCACCCCAGGCATGACTTATTTTGCAACAGGAATCACCGCAACAACCATCTTCTGATTTGAATGTGTCATTTTGCTGTTTGTGTGCCAGGTGAGGGTGGTGCAGGGTAAGGAGCCGGCTCACCTGATGAGTCTGTTTGGAGGACAGCCCATGGTGGTGTACAAGGGAGGAACGTCCAGAGATGGAGGTCAGTCTGCTCCTGCAGAAACTCGACTCTTCCAGGTGCGCTCCAACTCTGCAGGACACACCAGAGCGGTGGAGGTAAGAAGACACAACTTCACTTTCTAACTTTTTTTATGCAATCAGGGAATTTTAAATGAAACTGAAACACACACAGTAAAACTTGCATCTTAACCTACGTCATCCTCTTCCATGCAGCTTGACGCAGCGTCCTCCAACCTGAACTCCAATGATGCGTTTATTCTGGTGACACCCGGAGGCTCCTTCCTGTGGGTGGGAGTGGGTGCCAGTGACACCGAGAAGCAGGGTGCCCAGCAGCTGTGTGACATTCTGGGAGTGTCGTCCTCTGAGCTGTCTGAGGGAGGAGAGACTGGTGAGGAAACATGATGCACAAAGAACTACAACATATTTGTATCTCTTACTGCAAAGTGTAGTAAAGCTGTTCAAAAAGCACTTTAAGGGAAGGATTAACCGTCAGCTAAAGTGAGGGCTTGTGTTCATCTATGTTTAAACAAAAAAAAGACTGGGTTGCATCACTCTTTAGATGTTAGCTGTGACTTGCAATTTGCTTGCAAGCTCAAAAGAAAGCATATTCTCTGCTAGACATTTCAAACACAAAACCTCTGGATTGATAAATAAAACAGATTCCACTTTTTAAACAGCCAGCTTTGAGGGCAAGCCCCGGGCTGCTAGAGACAGAAGAAGAGAGTTCTGACATCTGAATTACTGTGAGCCCACGCTCAGAGTTTATAAGCTTTATTTTTCAAAACGTATGGAGTTAACTGCCGATGTGAGATTTGTTAGATCTGACACAAAGTCTGTGATGTCATTTTTTATTATTTTTTTTAAGATTCATTTTGGGGCTTTTTATGCATTTATTAGAGAGACTGGACAGACAGGATGTTTCTCTCTTTCAACTTGAAGTGTGTCTGTGCTCCTCACAGATCAGTTCTGGGACGCTCTGGGAGGAAAGAGCGAATACCGCACCTCCAGCAGACTGAAGGACAAGATGGATGCTCACCCACCCCGGCTCTTCGCCTGCTCCAATAAGACCGGAAACTTCATCGTAAGTCTCTGGTCAAGGCTTCCTCTAAAGATGACCAAAGTACATCCAACATATGTCCTCTAAATCCTTCTCCTGTCTCAGATCGAGGAGGTGCCTGGGGAGATGACTCAAGAGGACCTCGCCACTGATGATGTCATGATCCTGGATACCTGGGAGCAGGTAAAGGAATCAGAGCTCTGAATGCTAGGAAATCAGAGAATACAGTCACTTGAGTGAATGGAACAAATGTGCTTTAAACGTTTCTGTTTTAGGTGTTTGTCTGGATCGGAAATGAGGCCCAGGAGGAGGAGAAGACTGAATCAATGGCATCTGGTATGAGCACAAAAAAGAACCACGTTATCACAAAAATATCACACAATATCAAAAAGATACAAAACTATAGAGTCATTAAATGTTACGACCCGGCTCGTGGGGGGGAAGGGGATGCAACATAAACCAGAAGGTGTTGGTAAATTAAAGCTATTTATAAGAAAAGGAGTAAAATTGTCACACAACAAGAAAAAGTGAGGCAAACTGAAAGGGCCAAAGAGATCTGCTCCAATCAATAACATAGTAAATATTATTATTATTATTATTTATCGATAATAATCCTGTGATAAAATCTCAAAGACAAAACTCCAAAGTTTCCCTTGAAAGGACCCTTTGTTGATTCCTACATTTGGAAAGCAGCTTTGATGTTAAGCAAACCAAATCGTCTCCTGACTGAATCGTGATATTTTGCCAGCAGAGATATGAGGATGGTATCAAACCTAAAAGGTTACTGTCAGGGGAAAAAGCGAATAAGCATATTTTTAAAATTCTCAGACTAATTCTTGCACCTGTAACACAGGGGGAACACAATTCTTAGTTTTAAGACATCAGCATTTCTAATGGCAAATGTCTCAACAATCTGTTACAGAGAGTTACTGGCAGACATTGTGTTTAACATGTTTGGCTGTAAGTGTCTGATCAGTTTTAACAAACAGTCCTTTTTTAATTATATTCAGGATATTTGTAAATCAGTTGAACTCGATGACAAACACTAACTTGAATCCTGTCCTGTTCTTCCTCAGCGGTCCGTTACATCGAGACAGATCCGGCTAACAGAGACCGCAGGACACCCATCGTCAAGATCAAGCAGGGCTTCGAGCCGCCGACCTTCAGCGGCTGGTTCCTGGGCTGGGACCACGAGTACTGGACCAGCGACCCTCTGGAGCGCGCCATGGCTGAACTGGCCCTGTGAACCCCTCCTGCCCCTCCCTTTCTTCTACCTTTACAGCCCTGACCTTAGACCGCCCTGCTCCGCTGCAAGCACCGAGCTCTATCTTAAGACTTCTCAGCCGCAATACTCCCTGAAAATAAGAGGGCTTTTTTTTTTTTTTTTAAACCTTATTTTAAGGGATGCATGGCGATGAAGAAGTGTTTTAATCCACTTTGTCTCACGGGCTACAATGATGCTTTAAAACCATTAAAACACAAGCAGAGTGTTACACAGGCATCCAGTTGGGTTTTGCACTAAAAAGAATCTGCGACTCTATGACTTTAGATCGAATCCATTTTTCTCACTTTCACTGTGAACCTGTTAACTAAAAGCAAAAAACACACACAGCAAGACAGTGTGAAGCATCGGTGTGCTGAAAGGTTGGAAAACTCACTGCCAAGAACTCACCGCACTTAAAAGCAATACAACCAACGCCTTAATATCTGTTCAGTTTAAAGTAAACCTGCTTTTTTTTAAAGGTACTGTTCAAGCTTTCCATGTAGGACACATTATAGGCAAGAGGTTGGCACCTTTAATGAAGACATCTTTCATGATATTTATTTTTTTAAGTGAGATTCAAGCCCAGGAAGCTTGTGCGATGCTGTTTTAGCCAATTATACATGTTTATGGGAAACAGACGCTTTGCTGCTTGTCTTCTGTGACACTTTCTAAACGTTTCCCCAAAGTCTTCTTATCATTTCAATAAAAACTAATAAAAACTACTGAAACATGTTAAGTCATTACTGTCTTTGCTTTCGCAGACCACTCATCCTAAAACAGTCTGAAGAAATAAACACCATGGACAAAAATGTTTTTTTATCGTCTTTATTTCAAGTATTTGAATATATGTTATGACAAGAAAAAAACCAAACAGAGGTCAAATGTAAAAAAATACTCATGACAGCTAACAAATAGAAGTTAAAAAATATTAAATTGTGTCACATGATTAAAAGCGGAAACAGAATAATAACTTAAACTGTATTTAAAAAGTATTTTTCATGTGATAACCAAATTACAGGAGAAGTAAAAAAAATACTAACTTTGAGCACAATTCTTGCTCGAGAAATTAGAAAAAGGATGCAACCACTAAAAATGACGTGCGGACATGTGAAGAGAAGCTGCTGAGTGATCAGCGGCACAATGTGGTCACACTGTGGCTGTGCACACAGTTCAAACTTTCAGCTTCTCATAAACTCCAGAGGACTTAAAATAACTAATGAAACTTCATATCTAAAGTAACAGGTTTTTTGTTGTGTAACAAAAAGAATAGTATAAAAAGAAATCCAGCCACAGAAAACTATTCTTAACCTCACAGGACTACAATCCTTTATATCGATCTAGATATATTGTATATATGTACTTCTTATTCATATGTGGTAACACTACAAAGACACACAGAAGATACTGTAACATACATTTTCCAACACTCCTGTCCTTTCTTATGTCAAAAGGAGGACAGGTATTACAACAATATGTCAGTTATAAGATACATACAAAGATGGGTAACTATTTGGCTTGTTTGCTTTGATAGAGCATAATGTGATAAAGTCCTGTTGTTAATAGAGAAATAAAATACTTTGTTTCATTTGAAAGTGCATAGAAATGTGAGAGTAGGCGGTAAAATGACTCTATGGCAGTTAAGTTAAGGCTTATGGCTGACAGATCTGCGATACATTTAACAGTCCCTGTTATCACCAGACAGGAAGGGGCTCAATAATGAGAGCGACTACATTACCCACAGAACCAACTGTGCAGCTAATCGAGGCTGATCCTTAGCATTTGTCCAGCCCTCCAAATAGAGCATAGTGTATGAATAGAGAGCATACTGTAAACATGTACGAGTGAGTGTGTGTGTGTGTGTGTGTGTGTGTCTGTGTGTCTGTGTTATGTGTGTGTGTCTGTGTTATGTGTGTGTGTGTGTGTGTGTGTCTGTGTTATGTGTGTGTGTGTGTGTGTGTGCGTGTGTGTGTCTGCGTGTGTGTGTCTGTGTGTGTGTGTGTGTGTGTGTCTGTGTGTGTGTGTCTGTGTGTGTGTGTGTGTGTGTCTGCGTGTGTGTGTCTGTGTGTGTGTGTCTGTGTTATGTGTGTGTGTGTGTGTGTGTGTGTGTGTGTGTGTCTGTGTGTTTCTGTATGCCACTCTGATGCTGGTTATTGTGATGAAGTAAACTCTACACAATCCACCGAGATTTCATCCTTCAATCTTTTGCATCAATTTATCTCACGACACTAAAAATGTTTACCTGTTCAGTCAGGTAAAAAAAAAATTGCCTGCTACAAGCTGAAGAAGCAACGTTCACGTGGCAATTAAAATACAATTTTGGAGTGATGTCCTAATCGTTTTTTCTTTTTTGAACATTTTCCAGGATTCAGCTGCCAGTTGTTCTACGTTGAAAAGAAGTTGAGCGTGTTTTCTCCTTCAGTCTGGTAATGCACCATATTTTAAATACTTAATGTTTCAAAAGGCAAAGTTAATCTTTAAACCAGCATACCAGTGTTTCTGTCTCTCTCTTCCCTAAAGTGAAGAAGGTTAGGGGAGCGGCTGAAGTACAGAAACATAAACTGTACCTCCTGTCCTGGAGGTTGCATTGTCAGTTCACTGTGTTGGAGTTTTACACCAATCAAGGTAAAGCATGTAATGGCACCTCTAAGAAAACAATGAGTTTACTTTTGACAGTAGTTTCCTACTACTATATAAAATATGTAGGGGTCTTAGGGATTAAAGGTTTGCAGCATATGATGATAATGATGAGCTGGCAGTAGTTGCAGAAGGAGAAAAAAGAAGCACAAATGTATGTAGTTATGTGTGTATTTGTGTGTCCGGTTGTAAGGCCTCTTATGCAGCAGGCACTTTGCTTTCATTACATGTACAACTTTGGATTTGGGGCTGTTTCTCTGATTTTGACACATTAGAAGCATACAAAGAAAAATACATAAAACTGCAGGATGAAGGCTTAAGCTTCTGCTGCAATGTGACCATTTTTGTTCAAATCTCATACAATACTTTAAAAACATCCGTCAGGGCGATCTGAGCAAAGCAACAATGTTGTTAATTAAACATTTCATACTCTGCTTTTTGCCTCAAGCCATCTTGTTTATCTAAAAGCAAAACAAAATTACAATTTTGTAATGAAGTAACTAAGTCAGTTTGGGTTGCAGTTTTCTTTCTTAGCTTATAATCAAAGTAGACTTTAGATCCCTCAAAACTTGGGTAGACGTGGGCTGACTGCTTTAGTCTTTAAGGTGTGTTAAAATGCAATAACATATTTTATGTTGCTCAGCAGACAGAATCTAAATATGTGTGTGTGTGTTTGAGTAATACATATTCTGAGAGCGAGAGTGCATTTTTTTGAGACTTCCCTCAGTGTTTGACGAAGGCCTGCATCATCTCCAGCGGCAGCGGGAAGATGATGGTGGAGTTCTTCTCGGCTGCAATGGTGTTGAGGGTCTGAAGGTAACGCAGCTGCAGGCCTGAGGGCGACTCTGCGATCACCAGAGAGGCCTCCTTCAGCGCCCGTGAGGCGTTCATCTCCCCCTCGGCCGCTATCACCTGCAATGGAAAGCAGAGGGGAAAAGAATGAGATCAAGATAGAGGCTGTGATATAGACACCTGTGTGAATCTTCTGAGTGGATCTGCTGTGACCTCACCTTGGCTCTGGCCTCGCGGCTTGCCTCCGCCTCAGCAGCCATGGCTCTCTGAAGCTGAAGGGGCAGCTTGACGTCTTTGATCTCCACTCGCTCCACCTTGATCCCCCAGTCATCGGTAGCATCATCAAGAGTGGACTGAGGAGACAGGGAGGCAAGTGTTTACCATGTGTTTTTGAAGGTAACTCTAAAGAGGCTCAACCAAAATAGATCATTTTGTAGAAACTAGAAACGTCATTAACTACTTTTTGTGGTGCAGGAAAAGTATTGCATTACTCGAATTGTTAAAATCTGCATACGTCTGATTTCTTTTCATATACACTCCCTTGCATTTTTGAATACTGTCCTGCAGATGGCGCTCAACCTCATGTTTCTCTTGTAGTGAAATACAATAGAGAGCACACTTGGTCTTAAGGTAAAACAACCGTTACAATATAAGGATGCATTTAAAGAATAACCACAATAACATTTAATCTTAAAAACACAAACTGCCAGAGTCATAGCACATTTGTCCTTTTATTTCTACATTTAAAAGTTGTGGACAACAACTGATGAGCAAGTCGAAAATGACAGGTTCTTTTTTCACCGAGCCCCCACTGTCATGACAAAATGGGTTTGGGGGTAGCTGGGGTTATTGGTTTACTCACTTCTACCTTCTAAAAATGCATGCAACAGCTTTGTAAATATTAGTGATAATACTTGTGAATAATATGTTACAATTACTGGACAGGGTGGAACAGAAATAGAAAGGCAGGTCAAAGGGGGTTCAATTCCAGTAGAGAATCAATGATAAAATCATCATAATTACTTTTTCTGGTGCAAAATTTTGATATATATCAAGTATCAAAGTAATTGAATCAAAATGAAAGAAGGAATATAGAAGGCAAAAGATAGAGGACTAATTTATGCAGCATTAGGACTACTCATTTACCTACAACACATGCTGCTGTTTAAATGTCACGTTAAATTCAATCCCACTCCAGGCCAGATGATGGCAGTAATGCACAATTTGCCTTTTTGAACAATACAAGGAAGGAAAAAAAGTGGTTCTTCATTGTATTTCAGTGGGAATGCTGAACTTAAAGAGGAAAAACTGTAGATGTTAGAGTGTATAATAACTCCAAGTACATGCCAAATATTTGACATTGTTAATTTCACTGATTGCTGACAAACCTTGTAACTGTGTGCATCAGATTTAATATGTAATTATTTACAGAAGCTCAGCATAAACTGGAAGTAGAAATGAAATTAATAAATGGAATAAGAGTAAATCTAACAGCTGTGCTCTACATCTAACACAGCATTACCTAAGGTTTTCTAAATATACAGATTGTACACATTTTATCTGCAGTTTGTTAGTTTCAGTATGAGTCCAGGCAAACCTGGCTCTAAGCAGGCAAGGTGGCACTGTAATCCTCCATTCTGTTTCCTCTTACACTCAGTCTGTATTATTGGAGCTTCAGAATATTGCCTACATTTCTTTTGACTGACTTCCTTACAGGTTTTTCTGTTGGAAGGTTTTTTGCTAGACCCCCTTTTTTCTGGGTCTCGCCCTGAAAATGCCACAGAAACTTCACCTTGAAGTGACATAATGTGAACATATCGACAAACACAGACATTCTGCTCTACAACTGTAATGGTGCTGTACTGTCAGTCTGCATTTGTTACATGATTGAACACCACAACAGTGTAATATTGGTGTCCCAGTAAATTAATTTAAAAGTGCAGCTCTGATGTTTACTGCTGCTCTGTTTTACCTCCGTTACTACCTCTGATGTCGGCTCAGCAAACAGAACAACTTAACCCCACTGATGTGCAGTGATTGATTTACACTGACAGTGAGGTATAACAGAGGATATATGCTACATGTATATCCCATTCTTTAAAGGTTCAGATGTTTGCAGAAAGCATCTACATCAACAGTTCTTCTTACAGTTGTTTGATGTTCAGATTATCTACTATTGAGTGGTCAGAAAAACAATTTTACTTCAAGCTCTGGCAATCTAAAATTCACTTTGCAACCACGACAACAATCATTTAATCACATGCTCTGAAAAAAGTGTCCCATGCAGACTGAATGAAATGATTGGATGCCCCACCTTTCTCGTGACTTTATAAGTTTTTATTTGGATCCTTTAAAAATCTGGCTGACTTTTCTTTTCCAAAGTTGCATAGCCCACCTACAGAATTCAAGCTGCTGCCACTTCCATGCACTGCTCCTCAGACTGCTCTGTGTCATGACTGTCTGATGAAAAGTGCTGTGATTACTAGTGTCATTTAAGACAATCTGAGTGTACTGATAAGTCACTTGGGCATGCAGTAGGTCAACGGATGGTGAGTTTAAAGAGAGCCCCCTGCTGGACCACAAAGCAAACTACCCTAAACAGGATTGTGCTCTAGCAGGGAGAAAATTCTCAATTCAAACAGGTCAGGATTTAAATAAATATACATAAGTTTATAAGTTTCACTCACTGGACTTAAAAAGTGTCTGTTGTACTGATACTGTCTTTAATTCTATACAGAGAGATACATATGTTGCACTGCACACCTTCCTGCACCACTATACAGTCTCCCAACTACTCATGTAGCACATTCCTTGTATAGTACTGTTATTTTATTTTTTACTCTTTATTGCATCTCATTTAAACCCAGGGTAATGAAAGTACTGCTGTTCAATAACTTTCTACTTTTATGTACAACTTCTATGTTCTTTGTTATTTTGCAACAAAAACCCTGTGACAAAGTTTGTATTTGTAAGCACACTTGGCATTAAACCTGGTTTTGATTCAACATAAAAGGGAAATCTTTTAGCCAAGCATTTACAGAAAAGTGACTCATGGAAGTCTGTTACTGTCAGCATGTTGTTTTGGATCTGAATTCCAGTTAACAGTGAGGATAACATCTACTGTACTCTACCTGCATGCTGTGTGCAATTTCCTCCCGGTCAGACAGGATCTCTGCCAGGTTCTTTGTACCCAGGACGTTCCTCAGGGTAGTCTGGGCCAACAGCCGGGTAGCAGCATCTGCATTAGTGATGTTAGCCACAGCCAGGGTAGCATTCTGGACCCGGTAGTACACCACACCATCAACACTCACTGTCACAGAGTCTTTGGTCAAAACCTGAGAGCGGGAAAGGGATTGAACAGGAAATAAAAAGTATGAATTGTTAAGTGGCTCTATAAGATTAATGGTCGGCTCCATCAGGAATCTGCACAATTATTTTGATGTCCTTTGAATTCCTGTGAATGTGACAACGTATTTGTTTAATGTAATTGGAAGTGTGTGTGTCATACCTCTTGCGGTGGGATGTCGAAGGTGATGGTGCGCATGTCCACGTTAATAAAGCTGTCAGTGCACGGCACGATGAAGAACAGCCCTGTGGAATCACAAGAATGCAAATAGTTTTAACAAAGACTAAAGCTGCTGTAAACACAATAATGAGCAAGCTTCTACACAAATGTTTGAAAACACCGTGATGAATGAAAGTCGGGCACAGGGCCAAGTCAAGCTCTCTTTATAAGACTGCAGCTGTGCTGACAGCGAGGCAAAGCTGCGGATATTTGCAGCTTTCATAATCCCGTTTCAAGTCACAATGATTAGTGCATTAAACAATACTAGGCATGTGCCTGAGTGAAACAGACATGTGCTAGGTGTGCAATCATTTAGCAAACATTAATGCTGCCACACCATTTAGAGACGAGTGGGCTGCATTTCCTGTCAGGATGTTGTGTATTTAAACGGTGAGATCACAGCCATCTGTTCAGGAGGGGAAATTAAGACAACAGCAGTCTCCTCACTCCGTTTCTACAATGACATTTCCAGGAACAATCATATTTCCTGTTAGACAAGAAGAGAGGCCTTGGTTGCTCTCACAGACAACGTAAACCATCATATCGTGCAGTGGAAAATTCCACTCCGGAAAAAATAAAAAGCTCTGTTCATCAATAAAAATCTCTGCTGATGGCAGAAGAAACGTGTTTACAGATGGGAAATGTTTCACAAACACAATCATTTTATAATAAGCTATTCCCACAAGCCTTTTTTTCTGACTAAATATACAGAGAAATGTTCTAAAGCACTATTATATAACAGATGTTACAGCTGGAGTCAGAGCCAGACTGTGAGAGTGAGGGTAAGGGGGCATTACGGGAAACCAAATGCTGAATTCAACTTTGGCATTGGCTCCTCCTTTCTCTCATGAATGTGGAGTGTGCTGGCGTTGAGCTATTATTACCCCACTCTGTCATAAACAGGAGTCCCCTGGCACTCCATGGAGTCACATATCAGCATTTTGAGAGGACACTGACTGTTTTTTTAAGATCCCGTTAAACAAGAAATCAAAGAAAGTGAGACAGTGAGTTATGAGATGTATGCTAATTTTTTGCTCATGGGAGTCCATATTTTTTTTACCTACACAAATACAATGGCACACGACACATCACTAAGAAGAGAATGATGAAGGCACTCAGACATAAAACAGACAGATATGCAGAGGAGTGGCCAGACGTATGGCTCTGTGGACCCTCATAAACGGAGCCTCACTCAACTAGCATGCACTCGTGCTTATCTATGATTAACTTTTAGGTGGGGCATTCTCTTGTTGTTATTATTAGGCCTAAATACTTTTCAATTTTTTGTTATTTTCTTTGTACCACTGAGAAGGAAGGGCTGCACGGGGAAGTACTATAAGCCTGTAGAGATAATCATGACAGCATGCAGGCTTCTGCCGTTTGTCTGCAGCTGTGTTCTCACCATCTCAATCACAATTGTCTGACCAAAAGAATATCATAAACCTGGTTAGGTGTTTAAATGCAACATAGTTCTACTAGAATAAAACAGTCAAGGTAGCAGCATATTCAGGTTTCCCATTATCTGGACAAGAGCTTTCTCAGGTTTTCACAACCAGTTTACATGCAAAACACATTAACAGGATTCTGCAAGAAGCTGATCATGACCAGGATATTGTGGATATAAAAATACTCCAATATGACACGTTCTTACCATGAACATGTCCAACTGATGACTGAGGCACTGTAACTAAACAGTATCTCTTTCAAGCTAAATGGTGGCCACACAAGAAGCCCACACTCTTCACAGCCTTTAGCTTCATGTCTCTGCTCTGCATGCACCATGCCAATCGTAAAAAAAAAAGTAGGTCAGTCATTCTTTTACTGTGGTTTCCTGAAGCCAGTAAGCCACTGGTTGTGGGATTTAGTTATTTCCTGTCCTACGTTGTTACAAAGAAAACAAAATCTAAACAATTGAATTGAAGGAGAATTCTCAGCACTGAACAGCTCTGAACAAGAGTTCCTTTACTTCCAGACAGAGCTGCTGCTCTGAGTATTATAGTAAAGTCCCAGGTGCTAAGTAAACAGCCTGGTGCCTTCTAAGGGGCCTAGACTAGTGTCTTGGGAAAGTTCCTGTGTCTCAAACTTGTCTTAAGAACTAGATGTTAGAGTATAATGAAATTAAAGGTTGGAGGAAATGGTAGTATCTCCAAAGCTCTGAACCAAATTGGGGCGTGTTTGTTGAGAAATACACTTGCTGAAATCAGACGTATAAATAATTATTAAGAGAACAAACATATTGTTAAAAAAAACAAAACATGGTAGTGTGGTATCACCTGGACCTTTGGCTCCTCCTCGCAAAATGCGCCCCAGGCGAAATATAATGGCTCTCTCATACTCCTTCACAATCTGTGCACATAAAAAAACATGAATGGCTTGAGTAGGAGTCCTTCCTTTCTCTTGGTGAGATATGGTATTGAAATAGTTTGATGTATATTGACTTGCTCATGGTGATGCCTTTAAATGAAGTAAATGATAATGGTTCACTGGCTTCTAAAGGTTGTTAGACATCATTTTACAGAGGATGAGACTGCAGTAAAAAAGCACTGCCAAAACACTAAATACACAGAAGAGGACAACATCTGTTTTATAGGTTTGACTTTACCAGCCTGTTCGGTAAAGGCTGTCTCTATCTACTAGCTGACCTTAATGCACATCCAAATGGAGAAGGGCAACGTGAGCAGAGTGAAGATAAGAGAAAGCCCGACCAACAGCCAGCCACAAAACCCAATACCGGTGTCTGAATTCTCCAACCCTGGGGAGAGAAGAAAAACATGCACTTACATTCATTAATAGGTTCATTTGTGGCAATGGAGTGCAAAACACTGGGAGAAGATCACAAGCAAGCCCGCCCACACACACACACACACACACACACACACACACACACACACACACACACACACACACACACACACACACACACACACACACACACACACACACACACACACACACACACACTTGTTAGACAAAACACCAGCAGCCATATCACCTGCCATGCTCTGGCAGCATACTTCAGTCAAATTAGATAAGTGGCATGCAACCATTTAATGAGTGAGATCGTACCTTCAGTATCATGTATGCTTGGACCTACAGACAGAGTTAGAAGTCAAAATGCAACTTTACTAGTTGCAGTGAATTTTCTGTAACTTCATATTGAAGAATAAACAGTAGAAAAAGTAGATGAGTCAACTATTGTAAAGTTAAACTAAGGTAGCAATTAGAGCAGGGGTGGGCAACTGGCGGCCCAACCCTTAATGTGGCCCTCAGGTCAATTTTGACATATCAATTAATTGGAAACATGAAGAAAAGATGACAAAATCTGCCATGAAATAGTGAAAACCAGAAATATGTCCATAATAATATTTGATCTCTGGTATATGTTGAGTTAAATTTGAGACATAATCGACTGTAATCGTTTTTGTATTCTACAGTTTGGCCCTCTGGCAGTGACAATTAAATGAATGTGGCTCCTTGCTGTGATCGAAGATGCCCATCCCTGTAATAGAGTATAGCTGTCTGAGTATTGCTTTTTTCCTACTACCATGATCAATTATTTAATGATTAATATGGGCTCACATGGGCAGATATAGCCCTTTTCAACATTTAATAAACACGGAATATTAACATTACCCAGTTTTAGTCCAGTAACATTATTCCCAGTGACAGTAATTAGCTGAAAGAGACTTAATTAGTTTTAGTTTTAATATGTTCACTGCTTGTTGTTTCGCTTCGTTAGTACAAAAGTACATTTAAGTTACAGATCGTGTTTATATTCAGGCTACTTCACGCTTAATGGTGATAAACAGTGAAGCTAATTCACGTTAGCTTTAAGAGGCTGCTACCATTGCTAACGTTTCAATGCTAGATACGCCCTCTTGGTTTATATCTTTCCGTAATAGCACACTTATAAAGAGACAAAGCTATACCTGCTTGACGTTCACGTCTTCTTGCTTCTTTCATTGCAACTTCTTCGCTGTCGTTTTGCATGCTTAAATAAGGATATTATATCTCACTAAGCAGAGAGCGCCCTGTGTTTACTGGGATAACCAAACACACTATAACAGAGCTCCTCCTCCGGGCGTGTGTAACCCTACGTTTTGACTTGTAGGTCACATCGTGCGTTTTTAACCCTACGTTTTGACTTGTAGGTTATGTGGCGTAGATCGGAGGGGGCTAGAGGGTATAAGCAGTACATCACATTTAACAACAGCAGGTCATTTAAAAATTTTCACTAGAGCAGCATGCAACCATCTGTTAGTCAAAAATGTCTACAAGTCTATTTATTGTTGTGATAGTCTGCTCCGAACTTCTGTGATGAAAACTCAGCATTACAATCTGCACATAAAGAATGTGCAAAAATATCAACACTTCTGGCCCACAACTACTACAAGCTGCTACCTCCTCTAATAGCCTACTACATTAATAATTATAAAACTTTCTTCCCTTCCTTAAAATCCCTTATAAAAGGGGCCCCCATGATATAGCCTAGGCCTACCTTAAAATACCCAATACTGGTGCATAAACTGCAAAACTAGAGAGAAGAAAATCCCCAAACAAGATAGTTGTTAACTCGAACAAGAATATCAAGATGTGTTGGAAGAAAAAGGACTAAAATTATGAACGTAACTGATGTAAACTGTGACAGGCGAAGTAAGCTGCAGACTGCACACACAGCAGACACCTGCAATGTTTTTGGCTGAGGTCAGGGCCTCAGAGGTTTTTAAAGACTACCCCAGATACCAGCAGTGCAGAGGGAATATAGCTGCCTTCTCTGTGGCAGCTGGCATCTAAACTAGCCAGCACTTTAAACAAGCTAATCTCAGATACCTATTTATAGTTCACAGTGCAGGAGAAGTTAGCAGCTGGAAGCAGCTTTTAAAATCCCTATGTATCTTTCAGCCTTTTAAACCATAAACAGCAACACTGATACACAGTATTTAGTCTTACACAATCTGTAACTTAGTTATGGGAGTGACAATGGGCATAACAACTCGTGTATGGTGGCAAAACATTTTAATGTGCGCTGCTGCCATGATCAAATTGAAACCTTAATATCTACAATTTCAATTTGATTTCATCCATCTTATTGTTTAATTACTGTTTTGATGAAGAAAAACACAATTCAGGATATTGTGCTATTTTTTTAAACCAGTTAAAATGTTGTGCTTTTTATTTATTTCTTTCAATAATCAAATAACAAACAAAAGTGTCACAGATGCTGACTGTAAGAGGTATTTAAATGAAAATACGTCCAGCCTAATAGTAACCAATTGGTTTCAATATTTGGCAGTGGTTAAGGAGGAACATAGTAAGGCTGCCTACAAGTCATGGTGCAGGGCAAACATTTGCCAGCGCAGCAGTCACGCCTTTTTCATGTGATGTGGATGAGTATCATGCTTGCTGGCTCAATTGTGTGTGGTTTTTATTTAATTCTCTTATTATGTGACTGGGTTACTTTATATTTTGAATTAGTTTGAATTCATCTTTAAGATGCCAAACCAAAAGAGATAGAAGCAGACATATCCATTGGTCATATGAAGCAGAATGCAATAAGGAACATTATGTTGCAAGGAAGAGGACATTTTAGGCACTTTTGTTTTCTGTAGCTATGATTACTGTCACGACCCTGCTCTTAAGCAGACACAATGACGAGAAACTTACAGCTTTTAACCAAACTTTTCTAGGTTTATTACCAAAATACCACCTTTACCACAACAAAAAACAAAAACATGGGGCTAGTCAGGAGCTAGGAACTAGTTTAATTACAACAAGGCAATTCCATAAATACAATATATTTAAATGTGAATCACATTAGAGGTCCATTCAGCCTTTGAACAAATAGCCTATAGACAAAAATGAATGGAAATAAAAACAGAGTAAATCTTAATATCACAATTCTGTTCTGAAATGTACTGGAAATGAAGCACCCGTTGAGTATATAGATCACTGGAAATCAGTTGCGGATTGCTTCAGTTCCTTTATTTTTGGACTTATCTTTATTATTGTCTAACTATTTCAGTGACAGACCCCCATGTTGAGTTCAGGTGGTGGCCTGAACAGAAAATCCAGGCAATTCCAGTAAGTGTGATTATCCTGGAAAAGCAAAAGGGACGGTGGCTATGCATGTTGGAGTGGCCCAGAACTCCATCCCAACTAATCCTCTTTTAATTAGGGTGAGAGAAGACGCGAGACCCCTCCTGGATTAGTCACAGCAAATTGACAAAGCACCAAGCTGGGACCAGTGTACAAGACTGGTGGCCAGTTAGGTACAGCGTGGACCCTCTCGAGCGTGGAGAAATGTTCTCTCGTCTCCCTGCGGCTACCTGGAGTTTGCTCTTTCTGCTTCCATGCACCAAAGTGTCTTTGGTCTCTGGTGAGCAGGGAGGATAAGTTACAGCATATGATTCGCTCATTTCCAATCCTTGGTCCATTTTTCACTCTCACTTGATAGGCTACTATATCTGCGGTCACACTTGCTCCCTATTATCCACCCTTTTTGCTAATCCTACAGGGTACTTTGCCATCCTCGTTACCGCAGCCCATCCCTAACTATCTCTCTTCACGCTCTGCCTGTCCACTTTTTCATACCGCCTGCTTTTCTTGGCCAATCATGGAGGTTTAGCCTCGTGCTGATGGAGACTGAGGTGAACAAAAGAATCAATCAGGAGCCAAATAGTCTGTGCTGCAAACTTAGATCACTGAGCATGTACAGATAGGGTTTACACAAGCTAGTTAAAAGTATCACACTAAAAAACATTGAAATCATAGTGCTTCATGGCTACACGCAGAAGAATCTTGTTAACAATAACTTAATTCACGTTCAATACAAAAGTACATTTTTAAAAGCAGGCGTCTATTAAAGTCGAATCTGATGTCATCCTGTGTTTTACTTTCTGTAGACAAGTGAATGTAGACTGCAAACAAATTGGGTGAGTGCTTGTATAAGAGACCACTGGGGGTTACTGAGGTGGTTCCATTGAGCGCCCTGCTTATAGAGCGACAAACAACCGGCAACAACAGTCAGCATGAGTGAATTAAAGTGTGCAGGAGTTATCCAAGCGTCAACATTCAGCTTTAACTTTACTCAACTAAACAAGAAACAAATCCATTTTTATATAAAAGCTTGAAAAGTCCACAGGGGCCTCAAATAAAGCAGAGAGGTACACGTTTAAGTTTGTCAAAATACGCCAAGAGGAATCTTAATTAACCGTCAGAAGGTCTGCATCAATCGGGCTTCACAGGAGACATTTGGCATCTGTGACACGTGCGCTCTAAACTTTTAAGGTTTCTAGTGATGGGCAGGTCGGTTACCTGTTGACGGTGGCAGATGATGAAGTCTGTGAACAGGTGATTTGCATCACCTCAAATATATTACTGGGTGATATTTAAAACATGACATTTCTGTCAGTCAACCTTTATCTAATGGACATTTAAAAAAAAAAATTCTCAGCTTAAATGAAAATGAGGGCAAACTTTTTTTTTCTCAAATTCTCAGAAGAAACATTGAAATGACTTAGTCAATCGTATGAAAGAAAAAAGTTCCCATGGAGGAAATAACGGGATATACGTGTCCTATAGAAGTCGTGTTCATGATTAATGAATTAACTCCTCATAATAATACAATGGACTGATCTCTCATGAATGTTAAACACTAACTGGAAAAACTGCCTAATCAGAATCAGATTCAGCTTTATTGGCCAGGTATGCTCACACAAACAAACACACACACACACACACACACACACACACACACACACACACACACACACACACACACACACACACACACACACACACACACACACACACACACACACACACACACACTGTATCCAGTGAATTAGTTAGTTCCAATGAGGTTAAGTTTTTGCAGTATTTACATTAAGCTGTGCATTTACATTGGTTTTAGATGAGGATGGTTCATAGTAAAGGAATCAGTCTGTATGACCTTAAGGGTCATTAGACTGTCCCTGTGATCTTACAGATGTTTTTTTGTGCAGGTGTTTCCTTTTCAGCTAGACTGCCTTTGGACATATTAACTTGAAGAGCCCAATGGAGTTACATTCTTTTTACCTGGAGGCAAAAAAAGACTTGTTAATTGGTTGAACTGTGACTAGGTAGAAGTTGGGTTGACAATGAAGTGTTTTGAATTGGAAGACAATTTAAAAAGGAAAGAAATCTCGCCTTTGGGTAGATTTCCAATGACATCAAAAGAAAAAAAGAGAATATCAGAGAATATGTACACAACTCTTCTGACCAGGTGACCACAGAATCATGATTTCTTGTTTGGATTTAAAAATAAGGAAACAACAGGATAACCGACATGTTGCACCTTCACCAATACAAGCCTCTGTCTCCTTCCAAAACCTTGCGGATAAATGTCATGGGAAAGCATCTGATTGATTTCACTGTTCTGCTTGTTAACTGCAATGATTGATCAATGTGAGAGCAATATGATAACAAAGACCTACAGCCCTAAAATTAAATGGCACATAATGAAGATCTCTCTTTTCTTAGTTGCAGGCTATTTTAAGAGAAGACGAAATCTCTGTCAGAGAAATGTCATTTTCAGCAATCTTTGAATTTCACTGTAAATGTATGGTTGACAATTGTAAGCATCAACCAGGTTTTCTTTCCTCCTCTGGACATCAGACAGGATCATTGGTGCTGTAAAGGAGGACGTGAGGTGATTGGTTAATAGAAATGGACAAACTTTAGTAAATGTCTCTTCCTGCCTCGCTGTCTGTAACACTGGGTGGCAGTGTGCACCTCTACACAATAGGATTTCACCTTCTGTCTCCAGCAGAGGAGCTGAGTCTGGAAGAAGTGACTCTGAGGTTATTTTCGATTTCCACAACATGGTTTGAGTCTTAAGTGAAACATACTTTCCATCATATATGAAATGTAAGAATTGACTCACAGGTGCAAAATAAATTCATGAATTAATTAATACCAGTGCACCCTGAAATAAAGGCCTCTGGCCGGAAAGATGAGGCCAATAACAAAAATGTCCTTTACAACATTTCAAGTTATTCATTTTGTTGTTTTTTTTGCCTGAATCTCTCTACATA